GAAATGTCTAAGTTCTATGATAGCCTTGTAGATGAGTTCCAGTCATGGTGGTGGGCTGGTTTTGCGGTGGTTCTGGCCTTGTATTATGCATCGCTGATGACCAAGAAATCAACACGAAAGCTGCCGTTGCCACCAGGTCCGCCAGGCCTGCCTCTATTAGGAAACCTTCCCTTTCTTCAACCTGATTTAAATCACTACCTTACTAAATTGTCTAACACCTATGGTCCCATCATGAGGCTCCAACTGGGCGGAAAGATTTGTATTGTCATAAGCTCCGCTTCGCTCGCCAAAATAATCCTAAAAGACAACGATGCAATCTTTGCTAACCATGAGGTTTTAGCAAGTGCGAAGATTCTATCGTATGGTGGGATTGATATTGTTTTCAGCCCTAATGGCCCGCAATGGAGGAAGATGCGAAAGATTTTTTCTCATCAACTGATGAGTAATGCGAGCCTTGATGCCTGCTATGCACTTCGCCAACAGGGAGTACGAGAAATGGTGAAGGATGTCCATAGTAAGGCCGGTTCCCCCATTGATATCAGCGAGAAAATGTTTATCATGGTGCTGAACGTAACGATGAGCATGGTATGGGGTGCTCCGTTGCTTGGGGTGGAAAGGAACAGCATGGGGCGCGAATTTAGAGGGTTAGTAAAAGAGGTCGTTGAATTGATGTCAACACCCAATATCTCTGATCTTTTCCCAGTCTTGGCTCCATTTGATCTTCAAGGAATCGAGTCAAAAATGAAGGCGATTTTTCTTTGGTTGGATCAGATATTTGAATCAGTCATAGCAGGCCGAATGAAGGATAACGGTAAGGCTAAAAAGAAGGATTTGTTGCAGTTCTTGTTAGAACTGAAGCATCAAGGAGACGATGGAAGTACCCCATGTTTATCGATGGATGAAATTAAAGCACTGTTTATGGTAAGTCTAACGAAAACTGTTTCATCTCTTTCGATGTTGGGTTTTCCTTTTGTATAGGTCTTTCTTTCTTTCTTTCTTTCTTTCTTTCTTTCTTTTTACTACAATAGAGACTTACTCTTTTGCATTAATACAAAGGTTTAAATCAATAATTTTGATCCAAGTCAACGTTTTTAAATTAATAACCAAGCTCTTTTTGCTATATTAATTTATATGTTTGATTTGAGTCTATTTTGTTTTACAACATGTAGAATATTTTACTTGCTGCTACGGATACTACATCAACCACGGTGGAGTGGACAATGACAGAACTGCTACGACATCCAGCAAAAATGAGAAGAGCAAGGGAAGAAATTGAGGAAGTGATCGGAAACCAGAACATTGTGGAGGAATCCCATTTGCCAAAACTGCTATATTTGGATGCAGTCATAAAAGAGACACTTCGACTACATCCAACAGTTCCCTTCTTGGTGCCCCGCAACCCTAGTAAGGATTGTTGCGTAGCCGGATACACAATCCCTCAAGGCTCCAGAATCTTGATTAATTTATGGAAAATTCAGAGGGACGCCGACGTTTGGGAAAACCCTTCGGAATTTGAACCGGAAAGGTTCTTGAAAGAGCCAGAAAAAGGTGATTACCATGGAAACTTTTTTAATTTTCTTCCTTTTGGGTCTGGGAGGAGAATCTGTGCAGGACTTCCTCTAGCTGAGAGAATGATGAAGTATGTATTGGCTACTCTGCTGCACTCTTTTGAATGGGAAATACCGATTGAGGTGGAGCTTGATGTGTCTGAGAAATTTGGAATTGTTATGAAGAAAATGAACCCTCTTGTTGCCATACCTATTCCAAGATTAGCTACTTTGGAGCAGTACCACTGAGGCTGGGTCCCTGATGGCATTTACTTGCTATCGCAAAACTCATTGCAAAAGAAGAGAAATCGGTTGAAGTAATATTATTATCATATATGTTTATGGGTATGCGGATACTTTTGAGTGTGTGTGAGTGTGTGTGATTATGGACATGATTATCTATTCTGATTGTTTGTGATTATTATGTTTATGTAAGTATATATATGATTTTTTAACCTCGTTGATCAGTTTTAAATTCTTAGACATGTATTATTGCTCAATTCTCCTTAATTTAAAAAATTTAGACTAATCATCAAAACACGCTATTAAACTTGTGTCTTAGAAAAAGTCGACTCATAATAGCACTAGGCAATGCCAAAGAATTTTTGGTAGCAATGCTTACCTATAACTTCTCAAGTGCGGCACAAATAAGTACAAGCTTATCCAGATATATATATATACATTTTTAATTCTTAAATTATAAAATTTAAGTATTAAAAATATATATTTAAA